TGGAGTGATTCAGCAAGAGTACTTTATTAGTGAAGAACAAGACAAGGATAGCCGGCTCACAGGCCGGTAGACCGCATGGCCCAACGGTCGCGCACGTGGTAATGGCGGATACATTACACACAGTCAAATCCGACTCTTCATGACCCCGTGGACCACATCACGCCAGGCCCTCCTGTCTTCAGCTGAGCTCCGGAGTTTGCTTAATTTTATGTTAGTTGCGTCGATAACACTGTCTAACCATCTCATTCTTTGGCGCCCCCTTCTTCTTTGACCTTCAATCTTTCCCAGCATCAGGGTCTTCTCCAGTGAGTGCTCCCTTCTCATTTGGTGGTCAAAGTATTTGAGCTTCAGCTTCAGCATCTGGCCTTCCAGGGAACAGGGCATATTTACAGGGCATATTCAATTGTTAGCAAATCTAATACAGGCTAACAATTGAATATGCCCTGTAAATATTTACTCCACGCATTTAAAAGAATAACAGATATTCTCAATTTCTGTTGAAAAACAACTAACACCGGGAGCCTTGGCTTCTTCTCCCAAGGCTGCTGTTACACTGTGTCAGTCCCTTTTGGAATCCAGCTGCCCTGCTTGGTTCTCTGGTGGCACCGAGTTCCACAGTCAATTCAACTGCTCACGGCAAAGCACTCCTAAAACCAGAGGGACATTAATTCCATTGTGTTCCCAGTGCGTCTAGTTTTAGGTTCAGGAACCTGGTTAACATCTGTTCATTTTCTTATGTAAACATATATCATTACCCCCACACCCTTTCAACCGTCTCTTTTCTGAGCTAGAGAAATTAAGCGTCCTATTACAATACCTTTTAGCTTGTATACTTTTTTTAAAAAAACAATCCAGCTGATTTACAGCTCAGCAGATTTCCTGCGGGAATCCATCACTGCGAAACTATTTTAACCTTGCGCTATTTAAAGAGAGACTGTTCGGCTTGAGTGTTTTCTCTGTAGCTTTCAGCCATCCAGCGAGATTCATTCGCTGTTTACTTTCACCCATTGTTAAGCCGGAAAAACAGTATGTGACACTTAGTGGTTTTAAGGGGAGGGGGAGAGGGCAGAGGGGGAAAAAATAAAATCTGTACTTTTTCTATTGTTAGCAGTTTATGAACAAAGTCTCCTCCTGGGTATGTAATTTTTGAATTGTTTATCCATTTCAATACACCCTGCAATTTGTGTAAGGCTAGAGGATAGGACCTTTAAAAAAAATTTTTTAACCCAAAACAGAAATTATATTTTAGCCGAGGATTTTAAAGAGACATTTGCTTGCTTCCTTATAGCCAGTGAGAATTGCCTCCGGGCAGGCAAAATTTGTTAGAGTTCCCTTTAAGGGTAGGGTTGCCAGTTCCGGGTTGGGAAATACCTGGTGATTTGGGGGGGTGGAGCTTGAGGAAGGGGGAGGACGACTACAATGGGGTATAATGCCATAGAGTCCACCTTCCAAAGCAGCCATTTTCTCCAGGGGAACGGATCTCAGACACATAGAGGTCAGTTGTAATCCCAGATCTCCAGCCACCAGCTGGAGATTGGCAACCCTATTTAATGGTCATCAAGGGCCCACCAAGAAGGACTTGTTTACTCATTTGGTGTAGTGGTTAAGTGCACAGACTCTAATCTGGGAGAACCAGGTTTGATTCCCCGCTCCTCCATTTGCAGCAAGCCATAGTTCTGGCACAGCTGTTCTTGAAAAAGAGCAGTTTCTGTCCAGAGCTCTCTCAGCCCCACCGACCTCACAGGATCTCTGTTGTGGGGAGGGGAAGGGAGTTTGTCGGCCACCTTTGAGTAGTGAAGGGCAGGGTATAAATCCAATCTCCTCCTCTTCTTCTTCTTCATTAGGTCTCCAATGCAGACTCAAATTGGCTTTACACCATTGTCCTCCTTTCCTCCATTTTATCCTTGCAACAACCCCCCTGCAAAGTAGCCTAGGCCAAAGGTCACCCTCCACGACCTTCTAGAGGTAGGGTGGCCAACCTCCAGGTGGTGGCCGGAGACTGCCTGGAAGTACAGCCATTCTCCAGCCAACAGAGATCAGTTCCTCTGGAGAAAACGGCTCCTTCGGAGAGTGGGCTCTATGGCATTATATATACCCTGCTGAAGTCCTTCCTCCCAAACCCCAACCTGCCCAAGCTCCACCCCTAAAATCTCCAGGAATTCCCCCACCCAGAGCTTTCTAGGGGGCTCCCACGAACCCATGCACCAGGCTGCCCCTCCCCTAAGCTCCCCTCGGGGTACGGTCTGTGGGGGTTTCTGCAGAAGCAGAGCAGAGCAGGAGAATATCAGTGGGAGGCCCTTCCCTCTCTGCAGGCTATAATGTCTCCCACAGATCCAGGAAACTGGCAACACTGAGGGACACCCCTTGGTCTCTTCTGTCCCCACCAGGGCCACTGGATTCTATGAGCCTGCTACTAAGCCCAAGGCCTGGCCTGGCCTTCCTTGCCTTGCACTGAGAACCCAGGAACAAGCCTATCAACCAATGGAGCTGGTCCCCCAAGAGGCGCACTGCAGGCCACAACTACTGCACTCACACACACAAAACGCCACCCGAGCAGAGGTCAGCTTCAACGTGACACACAGCGGGAACTTGGAACAAATCATCTTCCTCACAAACACCCGGCCCTTACGGAAGCATTCAGGTTTTCCATATGTAGAACCAGCCAGTGGGTGAAGAAAGCCGGTAGTTCAGGGGTGGGGAGACCTGAATTTTATACCCTGTCTTTTTCGGGGGGAGGGGTAGAATACCTCTAAGCTGTGGAGTGTTGTGAGCAAAAATTCTACTTTGTGAGCTGCTGGCATTAAAGTTGTGAGTGAGGGATTTGGCTGCTGCATAAATTAGTTTGCTCTGGAGCCATCCTTCTTGAGCTAAGACCAGGGGTCATTTTGTAGAAAAAGAGGTGCAGAAGCTCATTAGCATAACACATTAGCCACATTAGCCATATGCCACACCCCCTGACATCACCAGAAGTGTGTCAGAAGGCAACACCCACTGCTCAAGCTCCACTGGACTGTTTTGAATTGCTAAGCTATTGGGGGGGGGGGGACGGGCAGATCTGTCCTCGCAGAGGGGGGAGAGCTTGTACCTGCATAAAACTTGGTCTTAAAGGGGCACCGGGACTGTTTGGGGCCGGGGGAGCTCTACAATTTACCTGGCTGCTTCTTGCTCTGACTGAGGGCTGTTGGGAGCAGGGGGTAGGGCTTGTTGCATGTGCCCGCCCCCTGGGCTCTTTACTGCCAGAGCTCTGCTCCTGCAGGAAATGACCCTGGCTAAGACAAAAATGTGTGAGCCAGCGGCTAAAAACTGTGAGCTAGCTCACATGAAACTCAGCTTAAAGGGAACACTGCCCATGATCCAATATGGCATTACAGATTTGCAAAGCTATACCAAAATGTTAATAATGCCTGCAAGAGCATCTCACAGCAAAGCCACCCTCTTCCTTAACCATGTCAAAAGTGCCTTGATTGGGTGTGTGTGTGTGTTAGACAATCTATTAGCACTCCTTGCAAGAACCCAGCAAGGATCCAGCACCAGAAATCGGGCCAGCCGCCCACCGCAGGATTATGATATACCTTCTGCCATAATGGGAGCTGGGGGAGAAACAGCATTTAAAACCTGACTCCCAAGATGGAGATCCGATGTACTTTTATTCCTTTGTCAGATAAATTCTCAAGATTAAGAGACCTCAGATTTGCCCAGAAAACCTCCCCTGATAATCTCAGGGGTATACGGGAGCACCTTCAGTTACTCTGGGATGAAATGAGGCTCTCTGCACATGCCCAAGGGTACTCGCCACCCTTTACAGGGTGCCTGAATGGCCCAGTCTAGTCAGATCAGCTTAGCAGAGCCGGCCCTGGTTAGTCCTTGGATGGGACACCGCCAAGGAAGTCCAGGGTTGCTATGCAGAGGCAGGCAATGGCAAAGCACCCCTGTTCCCAACGGGTCAGCTACAACTTGATGCCACTTCCCACCATCTCCTTGCAACTACTTAGTGATGAAAAGAGGCACTCCGCACATGTTCATGAGTACTTTTCCTGCTTTAATGCAATGAACACATCCTGCTTTAATACAATGAACAGCATGCAGTCCTGTTGCCGAAAACAGGACCCCAGCCTCGCGCTGTAAAACCTTGCTCCAAACAACCCTTCTCGAACTCAGTTATTTGGTTCTGTACTCCCGAGCTCACGCAGGAGGTTCAGGTTCCATGCCCAGCTGAGCCCCGACTTAATTTACATCCCTTCTCCCTTAGTAACATAATAATACAAGTTGCAAAAACCTAGATTTAAAACCACCGGCTCTTTACAGAATGACCCAAAGCCACAGTTCTGAAGCAAGGCAGGAGGAATGTTTGAATTAAGTGCATTTGCACTGGAGGGGGGGTGTTGAAAAAAAAGGGGGGGTTCCAATGTCAGCCTCGTTTATAAATAGATCCGGCAAGGACAGGTGGTCCCCTGTCAACCAGAGGGTAACCAACACAGCAGGAGAACTGGAGGAAGTCAGGAGAAGCTACACAGGAGGCAGAAGGGGGGGGGAGGCGTTAAAAGCGGGCATGCAGTTTCTTACCCCTTCTCCCTCTCCCTCCCACAGCCTCCCTGTTTCCAGTTGCTAAGGGTCTGACACCGCTGCTAATCTGTTGCATAACCAATCTCACTGCAGCAGGAACGGGGGGGGGGGGGAAGAGTCATAATAATAATTAAAAGAGGAGAATCAAGCAAGCAAGTCCCAACCCCCCCCCCCCCCCACAGGGGGAGGACCGCCCCACGCCCCA